CTGAGGTGGGAGAGAAGTGGTAGAGGGGGTTTGAGAGGGAAGAGGAGGAGGAGGAGGAGGAGGTAAAGGAGAACATTAGAAGTGCTGCTCTTAGCTGAAAATGGGAATATGGTCCTAGGATTCATAGTCACGACCTTTCAGGGACTTCCATTATGTTCCTCTTTCCAAGTATGAAAGCAGCCAGGAGGGAATGACTGGGTTTTTCTGTCTCCCTCTTTCTCTCTTTTCTGTCTCTGCTTTTCTCTTCTGTCTTCTAGCTTTAGAAAAGTTATAAAACTTCCCCCCCGAATCAGTGCACTAAGGGATCACTCATATACTTGGCACTGTGACCCTAAGTTCCATATAATTTGGGGCACACCTAGTGAAACTCGGGGCACACTAATAGACTGTGATGCATCCTTTCAGAATCATTGCCATGAGCCTCCAAGGGCTTTGTTTTCTTTGGTGTTCAGGGGTAGATCCCCTTTGTGTCAGGAGGCAGTCTGTCCCTTTCCTGGTGAAAGCTGGGCCATTGTGGGCATAGGGTTGGCAAACAGAGATGGGCTGGAGTGAGTGGGGCAGGGATTAGAGAGAATGTAGAGGACAAAGCACAAAGGCAGGAAATATTAGTGAAGGGTTATCAGGCTCCTGTGAAATAATCCAGATGCCCATCCCCCTTACCTTCAGGAACTTGTAGAGAAGGAAAGTGAACCAGTTGGTTAGCATCTTCTCAGCCACTGACTCCGTCCTATGTCCCAGCCCCAGGGAAAAAAGTCAGAGCAAGACAAGGGGAAAAGGCATTTGGTTAGTCTCACTGGGACCATAGAGAAAGAAACTGGTGGGTTTATGACTTTAATGGGATCACAGATTTAGAGCTGAAAGGGATCTCAGAGGGAAGTAAGCCTAATCTTCCCCTCCCCATTTTGCAGAGAATGAAACTGAGGGACAAAGAAGTTGAGTGAACTGTCCAGGGTCACACATTATCAGAGGTAGCACTGGTATCCAGGTCCTCGTAACTCCAAGGCCATTGCCCTATCCACTATGCCAGGGGTATCAAATTCAAATAGAAGTGGGGACCACTAATCCATAAATAAGGATCCCTGATGGCTGCATATTGACTTAGTTTTAAAATATAATATTATCTGTTTTATTGTATTTTTCTTTGTTTTGTTAAATATTTTCCAATTACATTTTAATCATGTTTGGGCTGCAATGTGGCCCATTAGTTGCATGTTTGAGTGTTACGCAGCTGTTATGTGTCCGTAATGCAAACCCTGTGACTATAACGTATGCACAAGTTCCAAGACCTCCTATCTCCATGTGGCCAATTTCTTCTCACAAGGCTGGGGCAGTGCAGTGTTCCAGAGTGGAACATCGATGGGGCATGAGAGAGGGCATTGGTTGCCCTTTTTGGGGGGAAAAGAATGAAAATCTGGAGGAGGGCTGATGGATAGATCATTACTAGCCCTCCTATTTCCTTTTGACAGCATAAAGGAAAGTATGAAATAACAGTCTGGACTTTGGTTATCTATAGGATAGCAGGGATGGGGTACAGGATAGCAGTATGGATGGACCAAACACGCCGGGCCCTAAAAGTCAAGTTATAGCCCCACTTCAAAGACACCCAGGTCTTATAGAGATACTGAAAGATCACTTAATCTACCCTTTTACACCAAGACAATGCCAAACCTGAACCATTCCTGGGAAGAGAAAAAATATTGAGGGGCTTCCATAGATGGCTACACCAGAACATCTCTTGGGAAACCATTTCAGGGTTGAACCATTTTTATGACCAGAAAATTCTCTTCTAAGCCTAATTCAATGCTTTAGGTTAAACTCATTCGCTTTTTTATTCTGACTCCCAGAGGCAAAAGGTGTAATACCGATTCCCTTTTCATAAGATCATAGGCCCACGGATGTAGCTCTGGAAGGAGTCTTTAGAAGGCATTTAGCTTTCTCATTTTACAGAAAGGGAAACTGAGCCCTGAAGAAGTGAAGAGATTTGCCCAAGGTCACTCAGATGAAAAGTCGCTAAACCAGGATTTGAATATGAGTCCTCTGACTCCAAGTATCCTGTACATTCTCCTGAATGTCTAAATGCCAGAGGGCTCTACTTCTGTTGATTTCATTTGGGGTGGACAGAATTCAGACCTCAGCTATGCTCATGGGGGAGCACTAGGGAAAGGTGGCCAAGTCCATATATGGCCATGGACACTTTAAAGGTGCATTGGCCAAGAGAAAATGCCAAGATACCAGAATAAAGGGAGGGCATTTGGGAGCAGAGATAGAGAAAAAAGGGAGGGAAGAATTAGAAAACGTGGAACTGGAGAGGGGGCCAGGAAAAAAGAAGGAAGACAAGAATCAGCAAAGTCAGAAGCAGAGAAGGTGTTGGAGGAAAGTGAGCTGTCAATGAAAATGGGAGATACACAGATGCAGAGAGAGATGACATGGGAAAACTGACAGTAGGAGCTTAGCTAGGCAGTGAAAACCCTAGAATTATGGCAGTGGGTGGCCATTTGGTGAAAGTAAAACAAAAATCAAGATGATCTCTTGTGCAAGCGCTTTCCTCTGTTTCTGCTCCCAAATTAGCAGGATTGTCCCAATTCAAGCCTGCTTCCTGATGCTATGCAAGGTTTTGCCCAGTGCAGCAAGATCTTAAAGTGAATCTTTTCTGAAATCCCAACCTGTTTGCTAAACCAAGAAGAAAACCTGGAGTTATTAACAGAGGAGCAGACATGCAAGGACATTAATTAAATAGACTGACAGAGGTAAGTCAGAGACAACTAAGTGCTTGGTAGCAAGAGTAATGGATTTAAAGTCAGGAAGACCTGAGTTTGAATCTTGCCTCAGACACTAGCTTGGTGACATCTGGAGCAAATCACTTAACCTCTCTGTGCCTCAGTTTCCTCATCTGCAAAATGAGGATAACAATAGTACCTACATCACAGATTTGTTTGTGGGGAATCAAATGAGATGATATATGCAAAGGTCTTTGCCAACTTTGAAGTCTTATAATATAAATGTTATCTCTTGCTATTATAAAGTATGGAGATCAATAATTTCTTGTTGGCTGATTTGAAGTAGGAATTGAGGAAGGGTAGAAATGAGAGGAATATGGACGGTTTGGCCTGGAGAGAAGGAGGCTGAAGGGAAAACTTTAACACTATCTTCAAGGGTGCCTGGTGTCATGGCAAAGAGAGACCCAGTGGTCAAATTATGATTATTTCAGAGGAGGTATGAACTGTAGGAAATGAGCACAAGTTTTCACCTATTATCTCACCCAGTTTCACTTTTGCTCATGTGTGGAGTTCTCAGCTACATGGTAAAGTGCAGGCTAATTCAATTGAACAAATACTTATTAATGTACCCATTGTGTGTAAGGATCTGTGTAATGTGCTGAATTAAAAAAAAAAAGATCAAAAATGACAGTTCCTGCCCTCAAGGAGCTTACTTTCAGAAATATATTGAACAAGTTGCAATGGAAAGGCTTTAAATCCAATGTAAACCAGAACTTCTTAGATATGAGAAAGGGGCAAGTGACCAAGGGTTAATGTGACATTTCCTTCTCTAGAATGTTTAAAAATACTATAGATTCTTAACTAAAAAGAACACTAGGTTTGGAGTTGGGGGAGCAGAGCTTAAATCCTGACCCTACAACTTATTTATTGTTTGATCTCGGGTTAATTTTCCTTTGTGCTTCAGTTTCCTAATCTGTAAGACGAAATAACTGTGCTAGATGAACTTTAAGTGGGGCAGCTAGATGGTGCAGTGGATAGAGCATGGGGCCTGGAGTCAGGAAGACCTGAGTTCAAATCTAGCCTCCGATATTTATTAGCTGTGTGACCCTGGGCAGATCACTTAACCCTGTTTGCCTCAGTTTCCTCATCTGTAAAATGAGCTAGAGAAGGAAATGGCAAACCACTCTAGTATCTTTGCCAAAAAAAACCCCAAACCACAAATGGGGTCATGAAGAGTCAGACACGACTGAAACGAGTGAACAACAGCAATCTCTAAGGCCCCTTTCTCCTCTAACTTGTGATTCTGTGAAAAGACGTGTAATATTCTTGATTGAAGGGGAAAGGTCTCTAGACAACCACAGAAGGTCCTCTGAGAATCTAAAATGTTAAGCTTCTACAATAAGGAAAATTTGAGAGGAAAAGCTCAATGGTGTCAGAGGATAGCCAGAGGGCACATAAATGAAATGAAAAAGAGATGAACAAAAACAAAAGGGAGGAAAGAGTACTACATTCATAACATACTTTAAGGTTTTCAAAGCGCTTTTTGGGCAAGTATCGTTATCCCCATTTTACAGATGAGGAAACTGAGGCTCAGTAGTTGACTTGCCCAGGGTCACACAGGTAATAAACTAGTAGCTGTTGGACCTTGGACTTGAATTCAGGTCTTCTGTCTTCAAGATCAGAGCTTTCTTAAGAAACATGCTTAAGAATGAGACAGGGAGTCACACACTGTCTGAGTGGACACACGTGAAATGAGCCCAGAAGTCACCTCGCCCTGTCTTCTGCCTCTAGGCAGGTAAAAGGTTAAGTCATCCCCGGAAGGTTTGGTGGGGTCTAGGTTGGGGTAGAGACCCTCCCTCCCCCACCTTCCTTTGGTTATTTCCCTCCCTGCACCCTTTACCTTCTGAGTAGTAGTTTGGGGTGGTTTTTGCTCTCCAGGTTCTTGTCAATGAGGTCAGCCAGTAGCTGCTTTAGCACGTCTGTGGCATACTCCAGCTTGCTCTGCAGGACCGTCATGATGAGCGAGGCCACATTGCCCCGGTCCCGCATTGAGAAGCTCCTCTGGGACTCCAGGGTGCGGATGAAGGACAGTAAAAACACTTTGTTGTTGATGAGCTGGGCAAAGAGCTTCAGGCCCTTCTCCACACGCTCTTGGCGGTAGCCTGGTACCTACAGAGAGGAAAGGGAAGGATGAGTCACGCACCCATGAGCCACATCACGCACCTACCACGGGCATCACTGCCACGCTCAATCACATCACTGGAGATGAGAATGATGGGCTGGGGTATCATGTAAACGTGGCCAGTTCTGGAAAGATGCCACTGCCACCACCTGGCCATTCCAGTTGTTAGTCCTGTCTGACATTCAAATTACTTTGTGTTATTTTGTATATTTTCATTGTTGCTGTCCAGTCATTTCATGATCTTCATGATCCCCATTTGGAGTTTTCTTGGCAAAGATGCTGGAGTGGTTTGCCATTTCCTTCTCCAGCTCATTTTACAGGTGAAGAAACTGAGGCAAAGAGGGTTAAGTGACTTGTCCAAGGTCACACAGCTAATAAGTGTCTGAAACGGGATTTGAATTCAGGTCTTCCTGACTCCAGGCCCAGCACTCTATCCACTATGCCATCTACCTTATATTTGTCTTTATACATGTTTTATCTTCCCAATAGAAGCTTCATTAGGGAAGAAGCTATTTGCTTTTAGTATTCATATCTCTGACAATGAGTAACTACCAGATAGAAAATAATAATAGTGTTAATGATGAAGATGATGATGGCTAATATTTCTACAATGCTTACTATGTGTCAGGTGCTGTCAGATACTAGCTCATTTGAACCTCACAACAACCCTGGGAGGCAGGTGCTATGATTATCCCCATTTTACAGTTGAGGAAACAGAGGCAGATGGGGTCAAGTGATTTGCCCAGGATTGCACAGCTAGTAACTGTCTGAGGCTGTATTTGAACTCAGGTCTTCTGAGTCCAGGTCCAGCATTCTAGCCACTGTGCCACTAAGATGCCCCAGATGCTATACATGTATGCTAAATTGAAATGCCATGTGATGCCCCATCACCACTCATGTCAGAATCATTCCAAGAAGGAGCCCAGTGTATAACAGATTGTCATAGCTTCTTCTGGGTAAGCTTTGGCCCCCTAGGGATGCAAGGATGCTGGATAAGAATCTTCAATTTGACAATCACTACAATCCGCTGGCTGCAACAGAACACCATGCTGGGTGTCAAGACGAGAGGTTCTGGTCCTGGCTGTGCCTTTAAATAGCTCTGTGACATTAGGCAAGTCATGTAACCACTCTGTGCTTCAGGTTCTTCATCTGTAAAATGAGGGGATCAGAACAGAATACTTAACCCTATCTTAGAAAAAGAAATTGAACAAGACATCAATTAACCCCCTACCAAAAAGTCATCGAGAGTAGATGGATTCACAAATGAATTTTACCAAACATTTAAAGAACAATTAATTCTAATACTATATAAACTATTTGGACAGATAAGGAAAGAAGGAGTCTGACCAAATTCCTTTAATAACACAAATATGATGCTGATACCTAAACCAGGAAGAGCAAAAGCAGAGAAAGAAAGATATAGAAATATTTATATTTATAGCAGCTCTTTTTGTAATGGCACAGAACTGGAAATTGATGGGGTGCCCATCAATTGGAGAATGGCTAAACAAGTTGAAGCATATGAAGCATATGGAATACTATTGCACTATAAGAAATGATGAGCAGGATGCTTTCAGAAAAACCGGGAAAGACATACATGAACTGATGCAAAATGAAATGAGCAGAACCAGGAGAACACTGCACACAGTAAGAGTAATAATGTACAATGATCAACTGTGAATAACTTAGCTATTCTCAGCAATACAATGATCCAAGACAACTCCAAAGGATTCATAATGAGAAATACTACCCACTCCCAGAGAAGGAACTGATGGAGTCTGAATGCAGATCAAAGCATACTTTTTAAAGCTTTCTTCAATTTTCTTGGGTTTTTTATCTGTTTTCTTTCACAACATGACTAATATGGAAATATGTTTTGCATGACTGCACTTGTATAATCTATATCAAATTGCTTGTCTTCTCAATGGGGGGGAGTGGAAGGAGGGAGGAAAAGTATTTGGAATTCAAAATTTTAAAAAAATGAATGTTAAAAAATTTTACATGTAATTGGAAAAAGATTAACTGTTTAATAAAAAAATGAGGGCATCAGATGAGATGCTCTCTAAGCTTCCTTCCAGCTATAATATTCTCTACTAGATACAAATCCTATACTTGGGTTTAAATCCTCCCTCTGGGCAAGTTATTAACCTTCCTAGATCTCAGTTCCCTCATCTTAGAAAGGAGGGTTGGACCAAGTGGCCTCTAAAGTCCCTTTCTACGTTAGACCTATGAAACCTTCCAGATTAAACATTGATCAACACTGAAGTGAAGAGAGAAAATAAAATTTACCCAAGGTCAATAGAAGATGGCATCAGTGCCGTTGAGACGAGAGGCATCTTGGTAGAGGAGTGAGCACTGGACCTGGAGTCAAGAAGAGGTGGGTTCAGACCCACTTTAGACATTTGCTAGTTGTGTGATCTTGGGCAAATTATTTGAACTTCCTGGGACTCAGTTTCTTCATTTATAAAATGAGGGGGTTGGACTAGAGAGTCCCCCAGGTCCTTATAAGCTCTTAACTTATGATCCTATAGCCATGACCTCAGGTGTCTCCACACCTGGTCTACTGCACCATCCACTGGGACACAGTGACGTTGTCTAGGATCAAGAAGCCATGGCACTTGATGAGCACAATTTTAATTGTCTTGGGGAAGAGGAAGCTTTACAGCAAAGCCTCTGATCATCCCTTACAGCTCCCACAGGTCTGGAAGCCTAAGAGCAACCAGGACAGTGACCCTCTCCAAGCCCCCTTCTCTGTACCTGTTTAGCTTTCATTTCATTCGGCTTTTTAAAAGCTGAAAGTAAAGCAAGTCCTCTGGAAGGAGGCAGTGGAAGAGATAAGAGCCAAGCTGGGCACTGACAAATAGTGCTGGGGCTCCCCATTTTCCACAACTCCAACAACACCCTTTGGCTCTTGTCCATAGCCTTTGCTCCCCAACCCTTTATCTCCATCCTAGTCTTGCCAGTCCCTACTTCTGTAGCCCCAGACTCTACAAGTCAGCTTCAAGGTGTCTACCAGAGTTCCAAGAAAGGAGTCCAGGTCTAGTATCTGCTTCTCTTATGCCTGCCCCCCATTGGTACTCCCTTCTACCATAGGAGCTGATGCTATTAACTTTAGGTAGCCAAGAGAGGAAAAGGAAAACAAGAGCACAGGAAACACAGCAATCTTGATGTACCCTCAAGCCTCAGGTTGAAACCTATACATCTACTTACCTGTTTCTCTTTGTATCTACCTGGCTCACCCCTAAACCACTCACACCAAATTTCCCAAAGCTGTTACTATTTATAGACTTTGGGAACAGGTTCAGATTGAGTCTTGACTCCCTTCTTCTAGAATAGATTCTCTCACTTCAAACTCTTTGGACATAAAATTCAGAAAAAAATCTGAGTTCAAATCCTGACTTTGCTATTTACTATCTCTGCAACTATGGGCAAGTCACCTAAGTTTTTAGACCTCAGTTTCTTTATCTGCAAAATGAAGTCTTTTCTCTAAGGTACTAAAGTCTATGATCTCCTATGTGAGGGGATTCCCCTAAATAAAAAGGCTGGTTTTAAAATGAAGAAGGTATATCCTTGCTCATTTGGGATCCTTACATCTAAAGCGATAGAGGAAAGAGATTAGATTAAGTTACAGGTACTATACCCCTGGCATGACTCTGGTTGAATGATTTAAACCAATTAATGAATCAATGCTGACCTGGAGGGAGGTTTCCAGTGTTGTACACCAGAGACATATTCTTGGCTCTGCTCCGTTAGACATTTTTACCAGACACTTGCATGAAGGCATTGTTTGACATGTTTATTAAATCTAAGAATGACATAAAGCTGAAACTGATATGCTGGATGACAGAATTTGGATACCAAAAGGTCGCATCAGGTTGGAGTAATGGGTAGAAGTTAATAAGAGAATGTTTAATAGGGATAAATGTCAAGTCCTCCATTTTGGTTCAAAAAATAAACTGCACAAATATATGAAAGAGAAGACCAAGCAAGAAAATGGTTGGTGTAAAAACCAAAAAAATAAAAATGAAAACCTCTTGATTTTTTTTTTGTGAACTACAAGATGCCTTGAACATAATAAGTGTTTAAAATGTTATTTGAATTGAATAATGTAACATGGCAACTGAATAAAAAGATAATGTGATCTTAGGCTGAATTAATAGAAGAATAACATCTAGAAAAAGCAAGGTCATTGTCCTGCTGTATTTTGTCCTTATCAGACCACATCTATGGTATTATTTAATTCTGGGCACCACATTTTGGTAGGTACATTGCAAAACTAGAGGACAGTGAACAGGATGGAGAGGGCACTTAAGACCATATCATATAAGGAGTATTTGAAAGAACAAGGGATATTCAACAAGGGAAGAGAAGATTGAAAGAGGACATGGAAAACAAGTATTTGAAGGACTGTCACACTGAAGAGAGATTAGACATTCTGCTTGGCCCTGGAGATAAAGGCTAGGAACAATAGTGAGAGGCATATTTGGACTTGATATAGGTAAAAAAAAAATCTCAACAATCTAATTTGTACAAAAGTGAAATCAGAAGGTAGTGAATGCATGAAAACACATTTATTAAGTGCCTATTTTATGTCAGTCACTGTAGAAACCAACACAAAGCAAGACAGCTCCAACTTTAGGGAGTTACATTCTAATAGGGGGAGACAACGCATATAAGGGAGTGGTGGTCAGGGATGGGAGTTTGGAGCAGGGGAGTCATAGGGATGGCAAATAAAGCCAAAAGATAGAAGACTGTCATATCCTTTTCAGAACTAATGGTAGAACTACTTTGATTACTGTTTCTAGAGTAAGAGGTGGAAAGTGGTAGGAGCCAGGAAAAGTGAACCTGGGGAGTTGGAGATGCCTGCAATAGATAACTAGATAAAATGGGTAACATGGTTAGGAAGAGCGGGGCTAGAAATTGTGGGCTAAATTCACTCATTCACCAATTAGGAAAGTTCCACTCCAGGGTAAGAGTGGGTCTCCGG